AAATTCCTTATCCGAGATCATCCCCACCAACAATACACGGGAACTGATCCAAGTTGATCCCATACAGGTGTGCATGAAGCTCCAACTTCTACCCACCACCTGGGATTAGTTGCCCATGGGAACACTCGTTACTTGAAAGCAAATGCAACATGCTACAAGGGACAGTGTAATTGTACTAAAACTATTAATTGTCAGAATGATACTAGACGTTTAGTTGATAACTCACAAAACTGTGAGTTGACATCATCTTCTATATATACTTCCTTGGGAGCCTATTTCATTTGTGGTATATTAGCATACCTGTGGCTCCCATGGGACAGGTTTGGATCACGGTCTGTCAGGTCTATATAACCCCAGCTGTTGAACATTTGTCGTCTCTCCCCTCTGAATATTCTCAGAAAAGGCAAGCTATCTCAGGGCCTGAAAAATTTGGGACTATTATGCTTCCCATGTATGAGAACCATTAAAAAAATTGTTTATTAGCGATTATATAAAGCAAATTAGTAATAACACTGCAGATTCTTCTTACCAAATAACGACTGAAATGACCACTATCTGTACAGTTTCCCTTCAAAACAGGTTAACACTTGACTTTATGCTGGCTCATAACGGTAAAATATCCACCTTAATTGGAAAATAATGTTTTATCTTTACCCTAGACAATTCTGAAACCATTCGTGATTTGAGTGAACGCATTAAAAAAGACTCAGCCAAAGCAAAACAACCCAGTAACTGGAACCCTTTCTTAAATACGTTATCACAGAGGTGCTACCAACATCACTCAGCTTTGGCCAGCGGCAGGTCTGTCTTGGAGCCGGCTGGAATTGGCTCTGTCTGACATGGGGGCAGCTTCTGGTATCTTCTCACAGAAGCCACCCCTGCAGCCCCCCTGCTACCAAAACCTTGCCACGTAACCCAATACAATGCAGCACCAGTGAAACTGGTTTACTCGGAAAGCATTTTGTGGAAATACACAAGTGGGTAATACATTCTGCAGTACTTGTACTTGAGAAATTACTATTTAAGTAATATGCAGAATTCACGTAACGTGAAATGACAAGTCATTTATTTCCTAGCTAACAAAATGCAGTCTCAGTCATCCAGAAATACAGTTCTGAAGGGCAGGTTAAGATGAAGAAAACTTTCTTTCCTGGTCAAGAGGGAGGAGTTATTACTCTTATCCCCTGTGTCTCCAACAGCTCAAACCTTCACTTGTGACCAATACAAATAAACAAGCACCCTCTAGTAACCCTTCATGTCCTCCATCCAAAAAGATGTTTAATAAAGGCTCCTTTTATTTTTGCAACAACTAACTTGTGACTTGTGTCCAAGACCAATTTCATTATCCTTTGCTCTGAGTATATGCCGTAGGAAATACGACTTTAAAAATGTTTATATTGAGGAATTTTAAGAACTGAGAAAAAATGCAGGACTTAATAGGATATTGCTTCTATATGTTTCTAAGGTGTTTTTAACAAAAAGAAAGATATTGTACCTTGATATAGATGAAAATGCTACAGTTTCGCCCACCTCATCAGAAAAAAAAAAAGTCTTGTGAAGTAATGTGAGGTTTTTTTCACTTCTTTCTCCTTCCAACAATCTGTGTGCAAGCCAACCCATGGCAGTATTTACCTGTGTCCTGGTTTCAGCTGGGATAGAGTTAATTTCCTTCCTAGTAGCTGGTACAGCGCTGTGTTTTCGATTTACTGTGAGAATAATGTTGATAACACACCGATGTTTCAGTTGTTGCTAAGCAGTGCTTACACTAGTCAAGGACTTTTCAGCTTCCCATGCTCTACCGACTGAGAAGGCTGGAGGGGCACAAGAAGCTGGGAGGGGGCACAGCCAGGACAGCTGACCCAAACTGCCCAAAGGGACATTCCATACCATGTGACGTCATGCTCAGTATATAAAGCTGGGGGGAGTTGGCCGGGGTGCGGTGACCGCTGCTCGGGAACTGGCTGGGCATCAGTTGGTGGGTGGTGAGCAATTGCATCATGCATCACTTATTTTGTATAGTCTTTTACCATTATTATTGTTATTTTCCCTTCCTTTTCTGTCCTATTAAACTGTTCCTATCTCAACCCACAAATTTTGCTTTTTTTTTTTTTCCCCAAATCTCTCCCCCATCCCACTGGGGGGCAGGGAGTGAGCGAACAGCTGTGTGGTGTTTAGCTGCCTGCCAGGTTAAAACACAACAACCTGTCAAATAGAAAAGGTACAATTGCTTATATTGTTTTAAATCATGCTAATTTGAGCCCCTAGTTTCAGATTTTCTGTTTTAAGGAATATTTGAAGTATTTAAAAAGCATTTAGGAAAAACATGAAAATACCAAAATAATGGAAATTGTTGCACTTAATCATCTACATATGTACTTGCATACCTATTAAAGGGTAAAAAATGACCACAGACATTTGATCTGTTAAATGTGTCTAACATTAAATTGGCTGTAGCATCCACATACTATAAATAATGACTCTCTTAATCTTTCATCTGAAGAGGAATTAAACTCCCAGATATTTTTGATTAGTAAAATACATGCATATGGTGGAATGGGAAATGAAAGGAAAACACTAAAAGATCTTTCTAGTTCTTTATTTTGATCAACCATGTACACAATTTGAAGAATTAAGGAACACCAATCATCCCATCAAAGGGCAAAAAAAACATTACACACTCACCACAGTCTTTGGGGTTAACCTTGGGCTAGATGTACAAGCACAATACAAGTACAAGCTTCAAGTACAATTTGTTGCAGGACAACCAGGGGATCAGGCCCAGCCAGCACGGATTCATGAAAGGCAGGTCCTGCTTGACCAACCTGATCTCCTTCTATGACCAGGTGACCCGCCTAGTGGA